TCAAAGGTTGCTATATAGATATGTATACATACATTTATGCGTATACATATGTTTATTTGCATAAGAAACAAATGCAGCAATATATACACATGATATATATCAACAGAATAGAATGCACCTCATGTATAACCACTACTCAAATGTGAGAAGAAACTACACCGCAGCTCATACGGTTGCCAATATGACATTGGGATGCAAAAAAATGGTGCGTACGACGTAGTAGTTTCATTACAATCTACGATAGATAAAATGCAAGATATGTATGAATTTTATCGCTTCTAGGATATTCTACTCATGTACGATATAAGTGTAATATAAACGACTATATGGCGCAAAATTTTGTACTATACATATACATAAATATGCTGATTTGCTCATTTCCCATTTTTACAGAAGTGGTTGATATATCATTCCTTAGTAGCACAGGGAAGGCCTAAATGAGTGTTGTTTGGTGACTCATAGTTGCCAAGCGAGGCTCCAGAGGAAACGACTTATGAAATTTATCTATTTAGCGAATAAGGTATTTTTGAGCCAAAGAAGCTCTCATAGACATATGTTTGAAAATCTAAAACTGGCATACACAACCATTCCCGTAAGTAAAGCTAGAGACGAAATTCCTGAAATATTACTCGCATGTACTTTAGCTCGGCTTCACGCACAGAACTGACTCTAGTATTGTACATCTATTTGCGAGATCCATGGCATGTCGCATGTTTCCACTTCCATGCATTCGAAATTATTCATGCAGTACAGCAACGTTCTTATATACTACCATGATTCATTCTCCGAGATATGTTCTGGGAAGCGCTATTTTATATCTAAACCATACGAAGGCTCAGCAGTGCCGGAGTATGGAAAACACATGTATCTTTCAATTCTCAGTTTCCACAAACTTTATATTGATTGGCTTGACGCACAGCATCAGTCCTCAGCAAAAACAAAAAAACAAACAGAAAAAAAACAAAAACGTAATATCCATCTCCTGTGTCGTGTAAACGCATGGCCATCTAACATACTCAGTAGCACATTCTAGACCCTCCTATAGTGTAAAAGTGATATGGATGACAAGTACAGTACACCGTGGCGAACAGAGTAGCCAGCTCACTTCTACTACAAACTGCAACAGTTGTCGATACAAATAAGACATTCGGTGATGGAGTGTACTACACTTGAGTCTTGAGTCCCTCCTTGAGCTTCCCAACCGATGTATCAATATTTGGGTTAAACAGTCCTGATCTACACTGTTCGTTCGGAGCTCAATTTCTCCATGAATATTGCAGCTGCACTAGGTCATTGATCTGCATTTTTGATGGTGCAGATACCTCCGCTCACAAGGTAAGGCCCTGTAATATTGGACGGGTGCATAGCAGCCTGTTTAGGCTACCTATTTTTTGTGCAGCGACGAGGTATCCATAATCACATGGACACTCGGTCAAGGATTTAGAATCCATGTTGATCTAAGTTGATTGCTCCTTGATAATTTCAGCCTAGTACACCTGTGTACTTGATAGGGACCTTTTGGTGCTAGGTTTGCCCTCGCACATACAAGAGATTTGCTAAAGGGAGCTGTTGCAGTGAGCAATTTACGTAGGTGAACGCTTTCCAGTCGATGACCAATATCCCGGGCCTCAATACGGCATCACAAATCGGGCGGCAGAGTATCAGTAGTCGTGCAGGTGATTCCCCAAGGCCAATACAATCCACGTCATTTGTCCCGATGAGTCATGGCAAGATTAACTCAGCTGCATGAAGGGTATACAAAAGTTACCTACCTAGTCTATCTAGTCCTTCGCACCTGTCCTGCTCATGAGGGCCGCTTCGTTTTACAACAGGGCCCGGTGCAGTTGAGATGACCATTGATAGACTCCTTCCTAAAGATGTCCATGAGCATATCCATCCTATAGTCGGGCTTCTCCGGCGCCGTACTATTCGTTCCGCCGCTTACACTCACATCACCGTTCTGCACCATACCATGTATGCCGGTAAACGGTGGGGGGTTGGCCATGACACTCGTACCACTCGCTGTGCTAGCATCGCTCTCTGTATGGTTGTCTGTGTGTGTTTGGGTCTCAGTATGTGCGGGTGAGTGGCCATTGTCATCCTTATCTGCATCTGTAGTTGCATCTGTATCTACCTCCTTCGCTAGAATTGTGTGATGAATGCCAATGAAGACCGGCGCCCTACTGGGAGTGGTGTTGATGTAAGGTGTGACTGGGCTGCTATTCTGGGCTTTCCTTTCTTCCTCTTTTAACAAATCCTCCGCTTTCTTTCGGTCCGACAGTTTCTGCCGTATCTCAGTAGCGTCCATCAGCTCGCTGTTTTGTCTGACATAGCCAGGCGTATCGTCACCTATAGTTTCATCCATTGTATCACTTTTGTCATCGCCTGTATTGTTTAAATAATAAAGACACACACATATATATACATATATAGATTTATATATATAAACATTGTCAATGTCTATGTCTATGTCTATGTCTATGTCTATATAT